CCGTGCGTGCTGCTGCCTATGACTGCTCCGCAGTGCACTACCGGATGGTGTGCCCATAACAGTTCTCACCTTTCAACTTAATTGAGGTCATTTGAACATTTAAGTAATTAGGAGAAATCATAACACCTGCCTTATTGTCACTACCATCTCCAGTTGATGCCATCCCATTAGGAGAGGTCATTCTACCATTCAGCACCACATCACACACTACTCAACAAAATATAATTATGACCACACTGCTGCTGTCATGAATTCAGCATTCGAAAACCCTACTTTCAACTCACATATCCAGGTATGAACAGAATGAAAAGAGGTTCATATGCATACCTACCAATCCACACTGCCACATAAATGAAATCCAAACCAAAAGGAAGCAGCCGCAGTCCACTACTAGCCGAATAGGAATTTCTGTTCAAACCTGTCCACAGCCAGCCCTCTTCGTACCATCAAATAGAGGGTATTTAGTAAACCACCACAACGATCACCACCACAGCAACTGGAGGCATATTTACCTCCAAGAACGAACTTCCAATCTGTCTAAGAGATATTCAAAAAAAATCTGATATGGCGGCGATCCCAGGAAGACGAAGGAAGATGAGAGAAGATTTAAAAATCGAACTGGTTTCTTATTGCTCTGATACCATGTAAATAGGTAGATTAATCCTATTCAGTTCTAGGTTCGAAGTATGTAAGAAGAAGAAGAGGAGGAGAAGAAGGGTTCGGCTAGAAGAGAAAAGTCTCACTACCCAGCCGACCCACTTTGTATTTATAATGTATAAGCTGAATTACAAAAGACAGTATTGTCCCTCATTAAAAATGGGACACATAACTTAAACTTGAATAAAACAGACTATTCACTCTCAATTAGATAGACAAAAGACCAAAATACCCTTGTACTGTCGACTCTAACAGGGTTGAAGGCTTCAAAGTGGGTGATGAGGGTCCTTGTATTTCTCATCTTCAATATTCTGATGACACTCTCATTTTCTTGGATGCTTCAGTCGACCAGGTGCTGAACCTTGGGGCTATTCTGTCTAACTTCAAGATGCTCACAGGACTGAAAGTGAATCTAGCTAAGAGCTCTTTGATTGGGGTGGGGGAAATAGGGAGGGAGGAGCTGGAGCAGTTTGCTATGGTGTTTGAATGTCAGTTAGGGGAACTGCCATTTCAGTATCTGGGTCTTTCAGTAGGGTCTAAAACTTCTGCAACAGTAATTTGGAGGCTGGTAGTTGAAAGAGTGGAGAAAATGCTGGAGAGCTGGAAAGCAAAGTATCTGTCTCTGGGGGGCAGAATCACATTAGTAAGAAGTGTTCTCTCCAGCCTACTGACTTATTACCTCTCTTTACTCAAGATTCCAGCAAAGGTGGCAGAAAAAATTGAGAAGTTACAGAGGGATTTTTTTTTTTTTTTGTGGGAAGGAGCAGGGGGAGTAAAGAAATACCATTTGGTTAATTGGGGAAAGGTGTGCAGGCCAAAAAGGGAAGGGGGTTTGGGAATTAGGAGGGTAAAGGTTTTCAACAAGGCCCTTTTGGGTAAATGGCTGTGGAGGTTTGGGTTGGAGAGGGTCTCTTTGGAGGAGGATACTAGCTGAGAAATATGGGTTGGTGAGGTTTGGCTGGGAATCAAGGGAGGTTTCAAATTCTTATGGTGTGAGTGTTTGGAAAGGAATTATGCACTTCAATCAAGTGTTTAGATCTTCAGTTAAATTTAAGGTATGTGATGGATCAAGGATAAGATTTTGGGAGGATGAGTGGTGTGCAGCAGGAAAACTTTGTGAGGCATGCCCAAAGCTGTACAAGTTGACTGAACATCAAGTCAAGGTAGCCCACTGTTTTGAACTGGGGGAGGGTGACCAGATTGTATGGTGCCCCAAGTTCACAAGACCTTTGCTGGACCGGGAGGTAGTAGAATGTGTTTAGCTGTTGGAAATACTTCAGAAAGTTGAAGTATCTCCCACAATGAGGGATGGATTGTGGTGGAAAGAGTCCAGGAATGGGGTGTTTACTGTAAAGTCTTTCTACATGGCGTTGGTGAAGGATCAGCTGAACTCAGATCAAGTAGAGGGGATTTGGGGGAACCTAGTTCCTCCCAGAGTGAAAGCTTTCGTTTGGTTAGTGGCCTTGGACAACATACTTACTGTTGACCATCTAAAGAGCAGAGGGATTTCCCTGGAAAATGTCTGCATATTATGTTGGGAGAGCGAAGAAAATGTCTTTCATCTGTTCTACTCTTGCAAGACAGCAAAGGTCATTTGGAGTTTCTATTTTTCTTATTTGGGGTGAGTGTTTTCCAGCCTAGCTCTACAGCAGAAATATTCTCTTCCTGGCCAAACTTAAACAGCACCAGGAAAGCAAGGATAGTGTGGAGCTGCATTCCTTTTGCAGTGTGCTGGGTTCTTTGGAATGAAGGAAATAGAAGGCTTTTTGAAGACAGTTCAAAGAACACTGAAACTCTAGTTGCTTTGGTTGGGAAGCTAGTAGCGGATTGGGTTTGGGTGCCACCAGAATTTAATCAAATCAGCAGATCTGAAATGGGGAGGAACTTTTGGAATATTCTAGAAATTCAGCGGTTGTAATTTGGATTGTTGTCTGCTCTTATTAACAGTTAGTTTGTTGTGTGAGCAGTGGTGACACCTTGTCACCATTTGGATTGTACTCTTCTTTTTTTTTTTTTAATAAATTTTCATTTACTCTTCAAGAAAAGCCATCAAATAATAGGCTATTAGACCAATTAAACAAAGGCCCACTAAACAAGAATGAAGAAAAGAATAATCATAAGAAAAGAACCAAGATCGGCTCAACAACAATATTCTATATGTTAGATAATATGTGAATAACTTCTACATTCTTTTAATAGACATGCTATTTACACACAACCTGGGTGTGTGATGCCCTTTGTGCTTTATGGCCTAAGCCCTAGGTTGTAAGTGCCAAGTAGCCACTTTTGGTAGCAGTGTTTTTAATCTATACCCTTGTTATTTTGCTTAAAAATTTTCTATTTTGTTTGTGGTTCCTTTATTATTCATTTTTTGGTTGAAAATGTGGAATTTCATAACCATTAGGTTAGTTAGAATAGGAAAGGATGAAGGATGCACAGTGAACATTCGTTAAGTTTTATAAACTTGTAAACTTCCTTGCTTCCTAAATATTAGGTTTTTTGTTTTTCCTTATTTTTTTTCTTTGTTTGAAAGAAGGTTACTGTGCAGAATATATTAGATCCAAACAGAGTCAAAATCAGTATTTCCCTTCATGCGTGCATTTTATGCCTTTGGAATGGAGAATCAGCTGAGCACCTCCTTCACTGCCTGGAGACGGGGAGAACAGCTGGGTAACTCCCAAGCACATTGTGGACTTTTTTTGGTAGTGGCAGGGTAGAGGCCGGAAGAAGAGGAAAAAACTTACTGATGTATTGTTGTACATGCTGTGTTGGTGGGGGGGGGGGGAGAAAGAAATAATTTGATATTTGAAAACAAATCCAGATCCTTTGAAGACTCGATTTCTCATATAACTTGTGTAACTTATGGGCAACTAACTCTGTGGACTTTAAAGGAATCTTGGTGCGTGATTTTCAAAGGATTATGGTTGAGTTTCTGTGCTCCTCTCCATTAATCAGCCTCACTCTGGGTCCTTTTTTTTTGAAAGGCAGTAAAAAGTATATTGTATTATATCTATAAAAGAAGGTGAGACACCCTCAGTGAGGGGATTTACAAAATGCTATGCAGAAAAGACATTGTATATACAAAAGAACCCCACAACCCTTAGAAAATAATAGAGAGCCAATCAGGTCCTCACTGAAAGATTCTAGTGGATCCTTGTTATCATATTGCAATGGAAATTAAAATAAAATTAAAAAATCTTGAATAACCAAGATCATGCCCATGGAATCAAATTGCTTGAATGACCAAGAATCTTGAATAACTATTAGCACTTCTGTCGCATGATCATGCCCATGGAATCAGTGGGACTTTAATTTGTAGTTTGTTTGGATTTCTTTTATAATTTGTTCTATTGAATGGATGACTCCTACATTCAAGAAATGAGTGTAGCTGAGATTAGGATGTTGAGATGGATGAGTGGCCTGACTAGAAAGGACAGGATCAGAAAACAACACATTAGAGAGAACATGGGAGTAGCTCTAGTTAGGCAAATGAAGGAAAATCAACTGAGATGGTTTAGTCATGTGCATAGACGATAAATGACTACACAAGTGAGGAGTCATTTGATGCAAGCAGAAGGCTCTAAAATATCAAAGGGAAGACCAAATAAAGCATGAATCTAGATTGATAAAGAGTGATTGAAGGACTTGCAATTTGACAGAAAACATAGCTTTTGATAGAACACAATGGCGGGACAGGATTTGTGTAGCTGACCCTAAATAGTTGGGATTAAGGTCAAGTTGAGTTGAGTTTCTGCAATGTTTTAAGATAAATCTAATGTGTGGCACATGTCTTCCTATGTATTTCCAGTTTCAAACACTTGCAAGAACAACTTTAGGTACATGTGAAATGCCTGTTTGTATCTAAACTGCTATATTAAATTGTATTTTTGTGTAGTTAGTGTTGCAATACCTACTAAATTTATTTGTTTTTTAATTATTTGATTATTTATGAAAAGTTTAAGGATATTGATTATAGTTGCTTGGAAGCTGATTTTGAATGAACTTATGGGGCTAAAATATGAACATTTCACAAGAAATTTGGAGAGAGTAATTTTTAGTATACAAGTCTTTATACATGTGTATAGATGTTTGTGGTTTTTGTTTCTTTTACCATGTAATTCTGTAAATTGCTGCAGTTTCTCTCTTTTTGGCATAACAATGCAGTACTTTATTATCCAAAAAGCAATTTTCTAACATCTGGTTTAGTATTTTTTGAGAAATTGTATCATGCAAAATGACAGGTTGGTGATATCTTTGTTTTATCAAGATGAGCTCTTTGTGATTCACGGGGTTTGCAATCATTAGAAATATAACAATCTTGAATGTTCTTTCTTTGGTTTCAGCCTCCAAAAATCAGATCGTTTATTAACAATGTTACTGCTGTTCCACTTGAGAATATAGAAGAACCTCTAAAAGGTTTTATTTGGGAGTTTGATAAGGTGTGATTTGATCCTTTTCTCTACGATTTTATGGCTGCTGACATAAAATTTGTATAATGATTATTTGAATTTTCTTGATACAGGGAGATTTTCACCACTGGGTTGATCTTTTTAATCATTTTGATTCATTCTTTGAAAAGTACATAAAATTGAGGAAGGATTTGCAACTTGAGGATAACTTTTTGGCTGCTGATCCTCCTTTTCCCAGAGATGCTGTTCTTCAAGTTCTTCGTGTTATAAGGATCATCTTGGAGAACTGTACAAACAAGCACTTCTATAGTTCTTATGAAGTATGTTCCGTTACCTGAGGGAGTTGTCCTCTTTTACTTGTTTATATTTGTTACTTCTTTAGATACTTAGAATCAGATATTGTGCCAGATCTTTGTAACCTGTACAAATTCCCATGTTCAATGTAGAATTACAAACTTCATCAATGTTTATTATCTTTGTTCAATTTGATCTTGTTTCTCCATTTCATTTATTTATTCTTCTGCAAATACAGCAGCATCTTTCAACTTTACTTTCTTCCACTGATGCGGATGTGGTTGAGGCTAGCTTACAGACATTGGCTGCATTCTTGAAGAAAACAATTGGGAAATGTTCCATACGAGATGCCTCTTTGTGTTCAAAATTGTTTGCTTTTTGTCAAGGTTGGGGTGGCAAGGAGGAAGGCCTTGGGTTAATTGCATGCTCTGTGCAAGATGGGTGTGACACTGCTGCTTTGGAGTTGGGTTCCATTCTCCATTTTGAGTTTTATGCAGTCAACAATTCATTAGAAGAGCTGCCAACTGCAGATGTGCAAGGTTTGAAAGTCATTCATTTGCCTAACGTCAATGCTTATCAAGAGAGTGATCTTGAACTTCTTAATAAGTTAGTAACAGAGTACAAAGTTCCTTCTGGATTAAGGTTTTCACTTTTGACAAGGTTACGATTTGCAAGGGCTTTTAACTCTTTAACCTTGCGACAGCAGTATATATGTATTCGTCTTTATGCCTTTGTAGTTCTTGTTCAGGCAAGCAATGATGCTGATGACTTGGCTGCTTTTTTTAACAATGAGCCAGAGTTTGTCAATGAACTAGTATCACTGCTAATCTATGAAGACGCTGTACCTGAAAAAATTCAGATTCTGGGTATTCTATCATTGGTTGCTGTGTGCCAGGACCGATCTCGTCAGCTAACAGTTCTGACTTCTGTGGCATCTGGTGGGAACCGTGGAATCCTACCCAGTCTCATGCAGAAGGCCATTGATTCTATTTCCAATGATTCATCAAAATGGTCTGTTGTTTTTGCTGAGGCTCTTTTATCTCTTGTTACTGTTTTAGTCTCATCATCTTCAGGTTGTTCAGCTCTGCGGGAATCAGGATTTATACCTACTCTTCTTCCTCTTCTTAAAGATACATATCCCCAGCACTTGCACTTGGTTAGCACAGCAGTTCATGTTTTGGAAGCTTTCATGGACTATAGTAACCCTGCTGCTGCATTGTTCAGAGATTTGGGAGGTTTGGATGATACTATTGCTCGGTTAAAGGTAGAAGTTTCCTATGTAGAGAGGGGTTTGAAAAAGCATGATGAAGATTCTCAATGTGGTAAGAAAGGCAAACAAGTCATCCTTGGTGCTTCTAGTGATTTAGAAAACACACAGCCTCTTTATTCTGAAGCATTGGTTGCTTACCACCGCCGGGTACTTATGAAAGCTTTACTACGTGCCATCTCACTTGGGACATATGCTCCTGGAACCACTACTCGAGTTTATGGTTCAGAGGAGAGTTTGTTGCCACACTGTTTGTGTATCATTTTCAGAAGAGCAAAGGATTTTGGTGGTGGGGTGTTTTCACTTGCAGCAACTGTTATGAGTGATCTTATTCATAAAGATCCAACCTGTTTTCCTGCTTTAGATGCGGCTGGCCTGCCTTGTGCCTTCCTTGATGCTATAATGGGTGGTGTTCTTTGTTCTGCTGAAGCTGTAACTTGCATACCTCAGTGCTTAGATGCCTTGTGCCTCAACAACAATGGTCTTCAAGCTGTGAAAGATCGTAATGTGTTGAGGTGCTTTGTAAAAATATTTACTTCCCGAACATATTTACGTGCTCTTAGTGGTGATACACCAGGTTCCTTGTCTACAGGATTGGATGAACTAATGCGCCATGCTTCCTCATTGCGTGGACCTGGTGTGGAGATGTTAATTGAGATATTGAATGTTATTTCCAAGATTGGATCTGGAGTGGAAACTTCTTGCCCATCCAATGATTCACTGTTTTCTTCTACTCCTGTTCCCACGGAGACTGATGGAGAGGAGGGGAATTTGGTATCATCACATGATGGTGATTCATCCAAGATGGAAAGTTTTGAGCAGACAGCTGAACTGTCTTCTGATGGTTCATTGATCAACATTGAGTTGTTTCTTCCTGAATGTGTAAGCAATGTTGCCCGCCTTCTAGAAACAATTCTTCAGAATGCTGAAACATGCCGTATATTTATTGAGAAGAAAGGAATTGAAACTGTTTTGCAGTTATTCACTCTGCCCTTAATGCCTCTTTCAGTGTCAGTTGGTCAGAGTATATCTATTGCTTTTAAAAACTTCTCGCCTCAGCATTCCACTTCTCTCTCTCGGGCAGTATGCACATTCTTGAGAGAACATTTGTGGTTAACAAATGAATTATTAACTTCAGTTGGAGGGACTCAGGTTGCTGAGCTGGAAGTTGCAACACAAACAAAGGTCTTAAGATGTCTTTCTACTCTTGAAGGCATTCTCTCACTGTCCAATTTTCTTCTGAAGGGGACCACTACTATGGTATCTGAATTGGGATCTGCAGATGCTGATGTTTTAAAGGATCTTGGGAAGGCTTACAAGGAAATTCTTTGGCATATATCTTCATGTTGTGACGTCAAAGTGGATGAAAAGAGGGATGCTGATCAAGAAAATGGAACCACAGATGCAGCAATTTCTAATGCCGTGGGCAGGGAAAGTGATGATGATTCAAACCATGTTCCAGTGGTAAGATACACGAATCCTGTTTCAGTAAGGGGTGGTTCTCAATCTAACTGGAACGGAGAGCAGGAGTTTCTGTCAGTGGTCCGTTCTAGTGAAGGTTTACATCGTCATGGTCGACATGGATTGACACGTATACGGGGTGGAAGGACGGGTCGGCAGATGGAGGGTTCAAACATTGATTCAGAAGGTTCTACAAATGTATCAGATACCTGTGCCCTAGATGCTAAAAAGAAAATCCCTAATGTTCTTGGTTTGGAAAATCTGAACAAGCTTGCTTTTGCTATACGTTCTTTCTATGCAACTCTTGTTAAGGGATTTACATCTCCAAGTCGTCGCAGAGCTGAATCTGGGTCACTGAATTCCGCTTCTAAGAGCCTTGCAGCTGCCTTATCCAAAGCATTTTATGAGGCTCTTGGTTTCACAGGTCATGCTACATCTGCTGGGATTGAAACTGCACTGTCAGTGAAGTGTCGGTATTTAGGAAAAGTTGTGGATGATATGGTGGCACTTACTTTTGATAGTAGACGTCGTTTATGCAATACAGCCTTGGTAAACAACTTCTATGTTCATGGGACTTTCAAAGAACTCTTAACCACATTTGAGGCTACAAGTCAGTTGCTTTGGACGCTACCATACCCAATTCCTGCATCTCGTGTCGATCCAGAAAAGGCATCTGAAGGGAGCACATTGTCTCATAGCTCGTGGTTGCTTGATACATTACAGAGTTATTGTCGTGTGCTTGAATATTTTGTTAATTCTGCATTGCTTTTGTCTAACTCTGCTTCTCAAGCCCAGCTGGTTGTTCAGCCTGCTGCAGCGGGGCTATCCATTGGGCTGTTCCCTGTTCCAAGGGACCCAGAAGTTTTTATCCGTATGCTGCAATCTCAAGTTCTGGATGTAATACTTCCTGTGTGGAACCATCCCATGTTTCCTAATTGCAGTCCAGCTTTCATCACTTCCATGGTTTCACTTGTTACATACATATATTCTGGTGTTGGGGATTTAAAGAAGGGTAGTAATGGTACTGCAGGAACTATAATCCAACGGTTCATGGGCCCTCCTCCTGATGAAGCTACCATTGCTACAATAGTTGAGATGGGTTTTACCAGAGCAAGAGCAGAGGAAGCACTGAGACGGGTGGAAACAAATAGTGTTGAAATGGCTATGGAGTGGTTGTTTAGTCATGCTGAAGATTCTGTGCAGGAAGATGATGAGCTAGCTCGAGCACTCGCATTGTCACTGGGAAATTCATCAGAAACCTCCAAAGAGGATAGTACTGATAAATCACAGGATTTGCTGACAGAAGACAAGGGAATGGAGGCACCTCCAGTAGATGATATTCTTACTGCATCCATGAAGCTGTTTCAAAGCAGTGATTCAATGGCCTTCCCTTTGACGGATTTGCTTGTTGCTTTTTGCAATAGGAATAAAGGAGAAGATCGCCCAAAGGTGGTCTCTTATCTTATTCAACAGTTGAAGCTTTGTCCATCAAATTTTTTGAAGGATAGTGGCTCATTGTGTGCTGTATCACATATTTTGGCATTGCTTCTTTCTGAAGATGGTAGCACACGAGAAATTGCTGCAGAGAATGGTATTGTCTCTGCTGCATTAGATATCTTGACAAATTTCACCATGAAAAATGAGTCCGAAGGGGTTCTTGTCCCAAAATGTGTTAGTGCACTACTGCTTATCCTAGATAACATGTTGCTATCTAAACCCAGATTTCCTTCTGATGATACTGATAGAATTCCTTCTGGATCTTTAACAGACTCTTCTGGACTGCATATTTCCTTATTAATGCCAACATCAGTTGCAGAGAAGAAATCTGCTACAGATGCCTATATTAAAGAATCTGGCAATGCATTTGAGAAGATCTTAGGCAAGTCCACTGGTTATCTGACTCTTGATGAGTGCCATAGGGCACTATCAGTTACTTGTGAATTTATAAAACAACATGTTCCAGCTGTGGTTATGCAAGCTGTTTTGCAGTTATGTGCCCGATTGACCAAAACTCATTCTATAGCTCTGCAATTTCTTGAAAGTGGAGGCTTGACTGCACTTTTTAACCTTCCACGAAGTTGTTTTTTCCCTGGCTATGACACTGTGGCATCTGCTATCATTCGACATCTTCTTGAAGATCCACAAACACTACAAACAGCTATGGAGTTGGAGATACGACAAACTCTGAGTGGCATCCTCAGCCGGCATGCTGGTCGTCTTTCCCCTAGGACATTTTTGACATCCATGGCACCTGTTATAACTAGAGATCCTATAATCTTCATGAGAGCTGCAGCTACAGTTTGTCAATTGGATTCATCAGGTGGGAGGGCTATTGTTGTGTTATCAAAGGAAAAAGAGAAGGAAAAGGACAAGTCAAAAGCATCTGGTGCTGAAATTGGAGTATCTTCCAGTGAATGTGTCAGGATACCTGAAAATAAGCTACATGATGGATCGGCAAGATGTTCTAAGGGCCACAAAAGAGTTCCTGCAAACCTCACTCAAGTAATTGACCAGCTTCTGGAAATAATAATGAGCTACCCACCACCAAATAAACAAAGAGAGTGTATTAGCACTTCAATGCCCATGGAGGTTGATGAACCTGCTAGTAAGGAAAAGGGTAAGTCAAAGGTTGATGAAAGGAAAATGGAGTCTGATAACTTCTCAGAAAGATCTGCTATACTAGCCAAGGTGACTTTTGTACTTAAATTGATGAGTGATATTCTTCTAATGTATGTTCATGCGGTTGGAGTTATTTTGAGATGGGATTTAGAGACTAGTCAAACCCGGGGAGCTAGTCAACTAGATGGACCTGGACATGGTGGGATACTTTATCATGTTTTGCACCATCTTCTTCCATTGCCTTTGGAGGAAACTGCTGAAGAGTGGAGAGATAAGTTGTCCGAGAAGGCCTCATGGTTTCTGGTAGTGCTTTGTGGTCGTTCTGGTGAAGGCCGTAGACGAGTGATTACTGAAATTGTGAGGACCTTGTCTTTATTCTCTAGCTTAGAGAGCAGTTGCTCCAACAACATTTTGTTGCCAAATAAAAAGGTTCTAGCTTTTTCTGACCTGGTAAATTCCATTTTGTCAAAAAATTCATCTTCAAGCAACTTACCTGGTCCTGGTTGTTCACCAGATATAGCAAAAACAATGATAGATGGAGGTATTGTTCAGTCTCTGGCTCGAATTCTTCAAGTGATTGATTTGGATCATCCTGATGCTCCAAAAGTTGTGAACCTTATACTAAAGGTGTTGGAGAGTTTAACAAGGGTTGCTAATGCCAATGAGCAAGTATACAGGTTGGATGGGGCCAACAAGAAAAAGTCTTGTGGTACAAGTGGAAGAACTGAAGCCTGTGAAGATGTAGAGCATGGTCAGAATGGGGGCATAGAAAGAGAGACTAGAAATGTAGCTGAAACTGAACAACAACTGCCTCAGCCTCATTCTAATGAAGGGAATAATGATGCAAATCAAGATCAGTCTACAGAGCAAGATATGAGAACAGGAGCAGATGAAACTATGCCCAATGACCCACCTATGGAACACACAGTGGAGCTTGCTCATGAAGAGATGGAAGAAGGGGGTATTATAAGGAACAGAGATGGGGTTCAGATGACTTTTCGTGTTGAGCACAGGAATGATGATGATATGGGTGATGAAGATGATGAGGACATGGGGGATGATGGTGAGGATGATGATGAAGATGACGATGAAGATGAGGATATAGCAGAAGAGGGTGCTGCTTTGATGTCTCTGGCTGATACTGATGTGGAGGACCATGATGATAATGGACTTGGAGATGAATACAATGATGATATGATTGATGAAGATGATGATTTCCATGAGAACCATGTTATAGAAGTAAGGTGGAGGGAGGTCTTGGATGGTTTTGATCATTTGCAAGTTCTTGGGCGACCTGGAGGTGGAAGTGGTCTTATTGATATTGCTGCAGAGCCTTTTCAGGGGGTGAATGTGGATGATATATTTGGTATTCGGAGGCCTTTAGGTGTTGAGCGCCGCCGTCAAACTGGTAATAGGACTTTCCTTGAACGACCTGGATTAGATGGAAGTGGTTTTCAACACCCACTTCTCCTGAGGCCATCCCAGTCAGGGGATCCAGTTTCTTTGTGGTCCTCGTCTGGGAACTCGTCCAGAGATTTTGAAGCTCTATCAACTGGAAGTTTTGATGTTGCTCACTTTTATATGTTTGATGCTCCTGTTCTTCCATCTGAACATGTGCCAGCTACTCTCTTTGGTGACCGCTTTGTTGGTGCTGCACCTCCACCTTTAATTGATTTTTCATTAGGAATGGACCCTTTGCATATGACAGGTCGAAGAGGGCCCGGTGATAGTCGGTGGACTGATGATGGCCAGCCACAAGCAGGTGGTCAGGCTTCTGCAATTGCACAGGCAGTTGAGGAATTGTTTATTTCTCAGTTTTGTAGTGTTGCATCCGCAAACAATCCTCCATCTCAGAGGCTGTCAGAGAACTCAGGGCCACAGGAGAAGCAGCAATCAGATGTCCCACCATCAAATGTTTCCAGTCAACTGATCATAACCAGGAATGATGTTGGAAGTGAACAAAATGGAGCTCAGAATGAAGAAATTCTTACTGAATCAGCACATCAATGGGAGAATCCCACAAATGAAATTGATTCTCATCCTTCTGAATCAGTTTTTGGACAAACCAGGGCAGAGCATGATTCTGGAGAAGCAGAGGAAAGTGCAAGGGTTCAGGAATCCATGTCAAGGCAACTGGATGATGATGATGAAGGCACTTCCACTGGGCAATTAGAGGAAAACGGCGAGTTTGGTACCCCACCCACTGAATTACATGGTGCTCCTCAGTGTCAAGGAGGTGTTTCTGTGCTAGAAAATCCTCATGATGTAGAACTTCAGAGTGCTTATTATAATGGACCTTCAGGAACAGATAGCCAGTTGATTAATCCTGTAGTGATGGATTCTGTTTCAGTTCTGCCTGATACAGGTGATGGGCATGCTTCTTCAATTAATGAATTTGCTGATAATGAAACCAATGCTTCACACCCTGAAGTCAGTGAAACTGAGTGTCCCATGCTTGTTTCTGATGGTGGTGCAGATGCTCCATTAGTTGTTCAAAGCACTGTAGCTGCTCAAGGTTCTAATCAAGTTGATCTGGCCAATGTTAATAATGAGGCTTCTAGTGCAAACGCCATTGACCCAACTTTCCTAGAGGCTTTACCTGAAGATCTACGTGCAGAAGTTTTAGCTTCCCAACAAGCACAGTTGGTGCAAACTCCAAATTATGTACCATCTACTGAAGAAGGTATAGACCCTGAATTTTTGGCTGCACTTCCTCCAGATATCCAAGCAGAAGTTTTAGCACAACAACGGGCACAAAGGGCTGCGCAGTCTCAGCAAGCAGGACAACCAGTTGACATGGATAATGCTTCAATTATAGCTACTTTCCCTGCGGATTTGCGAGAAGAGGTTCATATTTTGCTCTGTCTCATCCTATCCTCATTAATACCATATTGAATTGAAATAACCTTTTCTTTTTGCTTCTATTCCAGGTTCTTTTGACTTCATCAGAAGCAGTTTTGTCAGCATTGCCTTCTCCATTACTTGCTGAAGCCCAAATGCTCAGGGACAGAGCAATGAGCCATTATCAGGCTCGCAGCCTTTTTGGAAGCAGCCACAGGCTTAATGGTAGGAGGAATGGTCTGGGGTTTGATAGGCAGACAGCAATGGATAGGGGTGTTGGGATTACAATTGGTCGAAGGGCAGTTTCTGCCATTGCAGATAGCTTGAAGGTGAAGGAAATTGAGGGTGCACCTCTTTTGGATGCCAATTCTTTGAAAGCATTGATTCGGCTCTTAAGGTTAGCACAGGTATGTGCTATTTAACAACTACTTGGGGTTTTTCTTGTGGTTTTTGGAATTTCCTTTTAATTTATTTTCTTTCTTTCTGGTGGGATAAAGTATCTGTATTGATGCCAGGTGGACCAAATTTTAGATGAATTATCAATTCACTTCCAAGTACTACACTAAATTATCCTAGTATAAGATCTACGTTCTGAAAGTGTATCAATTATGTTTTCTTTAAACAGATCAGTAAAATATGCTAGCATTAAATATGTATTTCCATATATGCATACAAAACAGAAAGGGTTATTAAAAGGAAAAAGGAACAATCTGAACCATGTAGTTAACATGTAAAGTTATTTGAAATAAATAAATAGGATAAATAAATGAAAATTGAAATAAGTAGTAACTTAAAATTTACTATATGACATATGGGGGGAAGGCTTCATGATGTCTCTATCCTTTGTTTACAGATTATGTCATGATTCAGTTCTGGATTTCTGAATTAAAATATTTGAAAATTTGCTGACCTTTTTGTTTATGTTGGAAGCCCCTCGGAAAAGGCCTACTTCAGAGACTCTTGTTGAACTTATGTGCACACAGTGTTACACGAGGGCTGCTACTTCAGCTTTTGCTTGATATCGTTAGGCCTGTGGCTGAAGGTTCTGTTGGTGGATTTTCCACTGTTACATCTCAAAGACTTTATGGCTGTCAATGGAATGTTGTGTATGGTCGGCCACAGTTGTTGAATGGTACTCCTTTTTGATGTCTTCATTTTTTTTTTAAATGTATTAGTTTAAGTGACTATGTTCTTATTGGGAGTTTTGTTGTTTTTATGCAGGACTTCCACCTTTGGTGTCGCGTCGAGTTCTCGAGATTTTGACATATCTAGCTGCTAATCATTCTTCTGTCGCAAATATCTTGTTTTATTTTGATCCCTCATTGATCCCTGAATCTCCAAGCACAACACTTCCAGAAGTCAAGAAGGAGAAAGGCAAGGAGAAAATTGTAGAAGGACTTGCTTTGTCAAACCCATTGGATGCCTCTCAGAAGGATATACCTCTAATATTATTCCTGAAGCTTTTGAACCAACCTCTATTTTTACGTAGTAGTGCTCATCTTGAGCAGGTATTAATACTCTCCTGGTGGAAATGATTTTTTTAATGTTATTCAGTCTCATAGATTTTGGTATATGATGGTTCTAATTCCTCTTGTCAGGTCATTGGTGTGCTCCATGTAGTTGTATATACTGCAGCATCAAAGGTAGAGTGTCGGCTACATTCTGAACAGGTTTCAGTCAATTCTCAAAGTCCACATCCCAATGAAGCTTCAGGCGATGTTCAGATAGATCCTCCTATATCAGAAACAATCCCCAATAAAAAATTAGATAAAGGTGGGGTTGAGGTAACTGCTTTGGATGAGAAGAGAAGTGTTGGTCCATATGATGTCTTCTTGCAGCTTCCAGAGTCTGATTTGTGTAACTTATGTAGCCTTCTTGCTCATGAGGGGTAATTCTATTGTGGACTGATATCTAATCTAGTTATCTGTCAATAGTTTTGTTTGTTAAATATAACATTCTAAAATTTTCATGTTGCCTTTTACAATTTCAGTAGAGCATCTACAAGTAAATTTTCTATGCATCAGTTGTTCTTTAGTCTTCTTTATTATCCATTTATGCTATAATGTCAGAATAGTTAATTTGAACTATTAACTGATTAGGCTGTCAGACAAGGTCTATCTGCTTGCGACTGAGGTACTGAAGAAGTTAGCATTTGTTGCTGTTCCTCATCGGAAATTCTTTACTTCAGAGTTAGCTTGTTTAGCTCATCGCTTGAGTAGTTCAGCAGTGGATGAACTTGTTACACTGAAGAATACACACATGCTGGGTTTGAGTGCTGGGTCTATGGCTGGAGCTGCAATCTTACGTGTATTACAGGCACTGAGCACACTCACTTCACCTATAGACGATATGAGGAAGAGCCAAGAGAATGACGAGGAACAGGAAGAGCACACCATCATGTGGAAGTTAAATGATGCACTTGAGCCATTGTGGCAAGAACTGAGTGACTGTATAAGCATGACTGAGACAAAACTTGGGCAAAGTTCGCCCTTCTCTTTACCAATGTCAAATTTAAATGCTGGGGACTATATTGCAGGTGTTTCTTCTCTTTCTCCGCCTCTGCCTCCTGGAACCCAGAGGCTGTTGCCGTTTATTGAGGCTTTCTTTGTTTTGTGTGAGAAGTTACAAGAAAATAATTCCATTGTGCAACAAGACCATGTTAATGTTACTGCAAGAGAAGTCAAGGAGTATGCAGGTACTTCAATGGGAACACCTGCGAAAGGTGCTGGGAGTTTGCAGAGGAGGCCTGATGGAACCTTGACATTTCTCCGATTCACTGAGAAGCATCGTCGCCTTTTGAATGCATTTATCAGACAAAATCCAGGGTTGCTAGAGAAATCACTTTGTATAATGCTGAAGGCACCAAGGTTGATTGATTTTGACAACAAAAGAGCATATTTCCGCTCAAGAATCAGGCAACAACATGAGCAACACCCTTCTGTGCCTCTGCGCATAAGTGTTCGCCGAGCATATGTCTTAGAGGACTCATATAATCAGTTGCGGATGCGTTCGAGTCAAGACCTGAAGGGGCGCTTAACTGTGCAGTTCCAAGGTGAAGAGGGGATTGATGCTGGTGGTCTGACAAGAGAATGGTACCAGTTGCTGTCTAGGGTCATTTTTGACAAAGGAGCTCTGCTTTTCACTACTGTGGGAAACAATGCAACATTTCAGCCCAATCCAAATTCTGTCTACCAAACTGAGCATCTTTCCTATTTCAAATTTGTGGGCCGTGTGGTAAATTTACCTGGAAACATTCTCCTTTTCAAACTAGTTTTTTTTGTATTGCAGGCTGCGTTTTCTTATGATGTTGGTCCTCTTACAGTTTGCTAAGGCACTCTTTGATGGCCAACTTATGGATGTCTACTTCACTCGGTCCTTCTATAAGCACATTCTTGGTGTGAAGGTGACCTACCATGATATAGAGGCTGTTGATCCTGATTACTACAAAAATTTGAAGTGGATGCTTGAGGTTAGTGGATTCAATAGCATTACATAGTTTTTATGATTCTCTACAAAGCCACGGCAATTAATGTTGTGCTTAGATGGAAACGGAGTAATAACTATTTATTTATATTTCAAATCAGAATGACGTGAGTGACATACCTGACCTGACATTTAGCATGGATGCGGATGAAGAGAAGCATATACTTTATGAAAAAACTGAGGTAAAGGAGGTTGCTGAAATATTTGTTGCCCAAGCAATTTTAATCTTCAAAATTTATGCACATTTCAGCTCACATGAATTTATAAGACCTTTTGGAGCTTATTGCCTACATCTGACCATATATCAAGTCTAATTGCACTCAGATTACATTTGCAAACTTTCAACTGATTGTGTAGACTTTTCTATTTCTACTTATGCTTTATAACTTCCTATTTTCTGCAAGGTCACCGATTATGAGCTTATACCTGGAGGAAGGAATATCAGAGTCACAGAAGAAACAAAGCATGAATATGTGGACCTAGTGGCTGAGCACATCCTAACAAATGCCATCCGTCCTCAAATAAACTCATTCCTGGAAGGTTTCAATGAATTAATTCCACGGGAACTTATTTCAATATTTAATGGCAAAGAACTTGAACTACTAATCAGTGGGCTTCCAGAAATTGATTGTGAGTTGGACTGCCCTTTAAGATATTCAATTTTTAATTGATGAATTAGCTCCTTTTATGGATAATATATACCATGTACTGGTAAGTTTTTGATAACATGCTTTATCTTCGCAGTGGATGATCTGAAAGCCAATACGGAGTATACTGGTTATACAACTGCAACTAGTGTTGTTCAATGGTTCTGGGAGGTTGTTAAAACATTCAACAAGGAAGACATGGCAAGGTTTCTGCAGTTTGTCACTGGAACATCAAAGGTAAATGGAATAGTTTGCTGTTCTCCTAAGTTGTTTACTTCTTAATTTATTTTGTAAATTTGATGTTTCTTGAGATTAATTATGAAAGCATTTATAACTTGCGAAGAATAGAATCCTTGTTTTTTTGATCATTCAGAAACGATTAAATCTTGTAGTTGCTCAAATGGATATCTTTGGAAATTGGCATAGTAAATTGCTAATAATTGTAAATCTTTGCAGATCATGCGTCATTGACCATAGTATCCATACTATATGTTAGAATCATTAATGTAATGGGTGTACGAGTAGCATTGGGTATTCTGGCCATTATGATATAAGTGGGGTTATATTGGTCTGTCCCCACTTAGTTACTTAAGTAGGGGCTTTTTTATAATTTACCATTTTATCGAATTAGATATAAGTGGCTTGTGCCTGTAATGGGGTCTTGTATAGGGACCACTTACAAACAGGATAGAACTCCTTTCTTCTTTCTCTTCAAGTTGGGATCTCTCTCTTTCTCCCTCTTCTAAGATCTGAACCACTGTTACAAGGTATCAGAGTAATAGAAACCTCTTGAACCACTATTTTTTTTTCTTTTCATCTCTTTCTTTTCTATTCTCTTAGTTCTGCTTGCTCAATTCTAACTAGAGACCAGACCTGAGAATTCCATTGCTGCTGTGATGTTCACTCTGAGTGATCAGGTCATTGTGTTTGTGTTCGTGTGAAGACCCTCTGTGGATATTCAACAAGGGCTATGGTGTGCAAGTGATGCAGGTCTCAAATATAGTAGATATGCTTAGTGTGACTGGTTTGTGGTGTGACAGCAGTGGGTGATGTCTCTATTTGCCATACTAGCATGTGATTTCTATGTGTGGTGTTGGTATCTGTGAGTTACCTGTTAGTGGGATCCATGGCTGGATCCCCAGTAGGAATGCAGCTTTGGCATGTAAATATAGGCCATGTTTTGTATTTATGTGACAATCTGTACCTACACACTTGAAGGTGCATACCTATTGGGGTTTTCAACAATGGATCTCGCTAATGGATAATCAGCAGATCTGGAGTGCTACGTGTGGTGATTCCTAAGGCTATCTAATGATGCAACAGCTGTGTTTATTAGTTTGGTGGCATAGGTTTTTTGATTAGTAACAATACAAATTTAATTAAAATTATTTGTTTTGGTAGTAAATAAAGAAGAAAGTTCATTAAGATAACAAAATAGAACTACATCCAAATAGGTGATAAGCAATCACAAAAAAAAGTGAAGTACAAACAATTAAAATTACGAAAAAAAGGGAGTTACATAAGTGAATAGTCTCGGCTGGGCACAGTGTCAGTGCAATACATAATGAGAAACTTCTACAACAGCAGATCCCAAAACATATTTTCTTTTGTTGCCCCCTGTTTTGCCAATCCATCAGCTATGCTGTTTGCCACTCTAGGAACCCAACTTAAGCTAGTATTCAACTGTCCCAAGTACTTCTTATTTCCCTTACTAAATGTCTATAGTGCCATGATTCCTCTTGATTGCCCTTTAACCAATTTGTGATAACCTTCAAATCACCTTCAATGATGACACTTGAATGGTTAAGAGATTTAAACTTTCTTAACTCCATTAGCACCATCAAGGGTTCTGCTCTTGTGAAGTCACCATACCAATTGGTCTTGAAAATAGGGGGATTTATATCTCCTGCACTATTCTTGATCACTCCCCTTAACTCCTGAAGGCCCTGGGTTGCCTAGATGCAGCCATCAAAGTTCAGCTTGTAAAAAGGGAGAGGTGGAGGTCTCCAGGGCAAACAGCACTGGGTTTATTTTTTCCAGTAGAAGACTCAGCCACTAATTGCCACCTCCTACAAATATGAACAAAGGAGATAGGAGCAAATAAATCTGATGTTTTGACCCAATGAGCTACCTTTATCAAAATACTATCAATGATCTCTGCAACACCTCTTTCCTTCTCCTTGAAGAGTCCTAAAATTTCTTTTCCCCCACACACTGCAAATTTTCCACTGAGGAATGGCCATGGGGTGGGGCACCCACTCCCCGTCGGGGATGGGGAATCCCTGAATTTTCCCCACCCCGAGGTGACCACCTAAAAATTAATCTAATTTATGAACATTTTACTAATAGGATTATGGGAATTTGGGGGTATTTTAGGAATTGAATTATGACAATTTGAGGGTACTTTATAAATGGAATTATGGGATCCTAGGATTTTAAGAATTTAAGAAAAACTTAGAGACATTTCAAAAATCAATATTAAATCTAGGGATATTTTACTAATTTACCATCGGGTTTGGAAAATTATATGCAAACATTGTCCCTGGTTCGGGGCAAAAATATTTTCCCCATCCCTGCCCTGTTTGGGGTAGGGCAGAGCGGGGCCCCGGTTTTACGTTGAAAATTGCCATCTTTATTGCTGTTGATGGTATGGTTTCAACCTCGCAACTGGTTTTTAGGTGTGGTCAGACTGTTATATGGTACTCTTTTACTTTTTGAGTGACTTATTTACAAATTACAACTTGGGTTATCAACATTATTGAAATTCAAACATTGCTACTTTTACTGCTTGTAAGTATTCAACTTCTTGAAAGAAGCAGTGCTGATGTACGATATAAGACTATGGACTTGTTGTTTGATATCAGTTTTCCCACTGCAGAACTTGTGGGATTATTTTTCAATAACCAAGCAGCCATAGACATTGTATCCCACCTAATATTCCATAAGAAAGCCAAGCATGTTGAGATTGATCGTCACTTTGTGAGGGAAAAGGTTCTTAATGAAGAAATTTCTATACTATAGGTGAAAACTGAAGATCAACTCTTTGGCTTGTTTACTAAGAATTTAAGACCAATTAGCTTGGTACATAGCTTCTACAAGATCATTGCCAAGGTACTATCTTGAAGGACTAGAGCTGTTCTCCCTCTCATTATCTCACAAAATCAAGGGGCTTTTGTTAGGGAAAGGCAAATAATTGATCAGATTCTGATTGCTAATGAAAGTCTTGAGGAATTGAAGAGAAGTGGAAAGGAAGGGTTTGTTTGTAAATTAGATTTGGAGAAGGCTTATGATCTAGTGGATTGGGGTTTCTTGAAGGATGTTATGGTGAGCTTTGGTTTTGGTGATAGGTGGTGTAGATGGATCTTGGGATGTGCTAAGACTTGTCATTACTCAATTCTGATTAATGGGACAGTAGATCATTTTCCAACTATTAGGGGAATTAGGCAAGGGGACCCACTTTCACCCTTCCTGTTCACGCTGATTGCTGAGGTGTTTGGGAGACTTACAGAGAGGGCAGATTCAAGAAATTTAATAAGGGGATGGAGAGTGGGAAGAGATCAGGTTTCAGTTACTCACCTACAGTTTGCTGATGATACCATTTTATTTGGTGAAAAGGGTGAAATTAGCCGTGTGTGGAACTTAAGGTTGGTGGTGCAAACTTTTGAAAGAATGTCCAATTTGAAGATTAACTTGGAGAAGAGTTGTTTGGTGGGAGTGAATATGGAGGAAAGGGAGATTTTAAAAAGTGTAGAAATTTTGGGATGTATTGTTTCCCAATTGCCAATGACCTATTTGGGTTTACTTTTAGGGGATAATCCAAAAAGAGGTAGGTTTTGGTATCCTGTGGTAGAGAGGATTACTAAGAGGTTGGCGTGGTGGAAGAGCAATTATCTGTCCCTTGGAGGAAGAATTACATTAATCAAATCTACTTTGGCCAACCTACCAGCTTACTACTTGTCAGTGTTTAGAATTCCCATTGGGGTGGGAAAAACTATAGAGAAGTTGATGGGGGATTTTTTTTGTGGGAACCAGGGAAGGAAAAGAAGGATCACAAAGTAAGATGGGAGCTGGTGTGTAGGAGTAACAAATATGGTGGTTTATGACTAGGGAACATACAAAAAAGGATACAGCTCTTCTAGGGAAATGGTTGTGGAGATTGCCGATGGAGAGGGACAAGTTGTGGGCAAAGGTAATAGTTAGTATTGATGGTCTTGTGGCGGGACTCTGGAATTTTGGCTAGGGCTACAAGGGCTTCACCTTGGAAGTCCATCTATGATGTTCTACCCCTCTTTTTACCACACATCAGGTATAGTCCGGGAGATGGAAATCACGTGAAATTTTGGAAGCATGTTTGGGTGGGCAGTGAATCACTAAGAACAGAATTCCCTTCAATGTATACCATTTCCAACTATTGAGAGGAACCTATCTCTTGCTTTTTGGCCTTGCCTAATTCAAATGGAGAGTGCAATTGGGATTTGAGGTTAAGAAGAGGGCTACATGATTATGAAATGAACACTGCCATTGACCTCCTGCAGAACTTGAAAAAGGGGTGTTTTTGGAAGGTAGTAAGAGGGATAGGAGAATCTAGACTCCGTCACCCTTAGGTACCTCCTCTTGTGATTCTATCCTTCCAGCCTGTTAGAGCTAGCCGAATAAGGGTAGATTAGTCATTTTATTTATGTTAAGTTATGTGCTTATATGGCAGTTTTAATAGAGACTTCCTGTCCCATACTTAAGTGGGGGCAGTTTAGTCTTAGTACAACTAATTAGATGCTAATCTAAATTATGGTCGACTGATAGGGTATAGCTATCAGATTCGACTGTTCTTCTTCCTTCTTCTTCTTCTTCTTCTTCTTCTTCTTTCTCCCTTCTCTCTACTGGTTTGAACTACCTAAGCACAGCTGTCAAACATGGTATCAGAGCCATAAACGAAGAAGGCTGCAACTTCAAGTTCTTCCTCCCTCTTCTTTTTTCTTCTTCTCTGGGCTGCGAATCTGAGGTACACAATCTGAAAGCTGCTGCATCTGTTATTTATTTTTTTTAGGACTGCCGCAATCCCTATTAGGCATCTTCCTGTTCCCAGTCATCAAGCCCTTAACAGGAAGATAAACCATCAGCTGACTCTCCAGGGTTTGATGACTGGGAACAGGAAGATGCCTAAATTATGACATGGTTATGGAATAGTATGGAACCCAAAATAAGTGCCAACTTTATGTTCTTAGACACAGCTAAGGACA